ATGCCTACACTCAAAGCAATTACTGCTAAGAACCCCTTAAAAAAGGCTAACATACAGTACTAGACTAATATTACTAAGTACTAAGCTTAATTAAGTAACTAGGCTTCCTATGCAACGCGTCTTTAGACAATCTAGAACTAGGTTAATGCAACTGTTACACTAGAGCTCTTAGGACCTATAATAATGCAGCTTATGTTAGAGAACTAATCTACCCTATAAGCACTTATATAAGCCTTAAAATAAGAGCTAGCACTAATAGATATAAGCATAAAAAATCTTGTATAAGTAGAGTATAAAGCTTACCTTACTAAGGTGAAGTATAGCACTATAACCCTAGAAGCTTAGTATTAGCAGTAGCACTTCCTATACACTAAAGCAAAGACCTACAAGATTCTTAATGTAGAAGGCTAGCTAGCTGCACAAGACTTCCTAGACGCCCTAGCTCTAAAGCTTGCACTAGACTAGGCGCGCTCTATGCACTAGAGGGTTATAGAGGCTAGCGCACTTAGTAAAAAGCCTCTAATAATCTAGAAAATTAGTAAGATCTTTTTAATAATGCTTTAAAAGCACTTCTTACATGCAAGTAACTAAGGCATAGGTATATTTACAACGCTTAGCAAACAATTAGACAACAAGTTAGCCTAATCTATTTTAGCCTAATTAGGCCACCTGTGCCTATGTAGAGCTCTAGAGTAATCCCTTTATCTATAGAAAGCAGTAAACTGCAGAGACTTTATATTAGCAGTTACTAAAAAGCTAAAGACACTTAGTAAAACTACACACTAAAAGATCTTTAAAAGGCTTAAGTAGGCGCAGCATAAGAAAGTAAAAGCTGTACTGCTTAAAAGAGGCTGCGTAATTCTAGATAAAGCCTCCTCTGCTCTAAAAGCTATTAAAAAATTAAATAAGCTAGCATTCTTAGACAGCATTATTACTGCACTTATTAACCTAGCGCTTTTAGTAAAACTAAAGATACATATAACTCTAGATTTTAACACTTCCCTACTCTCTATAAGTATAATTCTAGATAATAGAAGTGCTACGCACTTAGTAAACAGTATAGAGCTGCTTATACCTAGGTTATTTAAGAAAGCTTAAGGTTTACACATAGTAAAAGCTAGCACCTAGTTGTTTCTAATCTAGGGAACAGAAACTAAAAAGCTTAAAGAGGTGTTAAATAAAGCATAAAAAAAGCGCACAGAAGATCTTACACTATAAAAGGTAGTTATAGTAAAAGGATTTTACATTAATATTATCTTAGAAGCTTATTTAAGAGAAAAAAGACTATAGTATTTAAAACTTAACTATACACTGCGCATAAGCACACTAGAAAAAAATAGGGTACTAGTAACACTCTGCTAAGAACATAACTTTATGTTTATTAAATATAAAGCTGTCTCTTTCTACTTACTAGTGTAAAGTGTGCTCTTAGATTACTAACGCTTATAAACTATATTCCTACGCTTAGACTTAGAAGAGCTTTAGCATACGCGTGCAGAACACTGAGGCTCTAAAGCTCTACAGGCTCTAGTTAAAAGTGTAAGAAACGTATAAATAACAGGTATAAAGCAAGTCTACTGTAAGCACTGCGCAACAACCTACACTAAGCAGGTTATATTAAGAAGACTAAAAGAGTAAGCTCCCTGCCTATTCTAAAGAGTTGCATAGGACATGTTTAATATGCCTTTAGGGCGCAGCAGAGCTCTATAGATAATAATTATTAAAGATAAATATAGTAGTAAAATCTTTTTATACTCTTTTTAAGTAAAAACACTTTTAGAAATCTAAAAAGTAATAGAGAACTTTAAAAGTATAGTGTCTAATTAATATAAGCTTTAGATTAGCAAAATACAGCAAGATAACAACACTACTACACTCTCTTAGCATAGAAAGTTAAGGTATAAGCTTTAAGTAAAAAAATTTAGCTTTAATATTAAAAGCTTTTTACTATACACTTATAAGCTAAATAAAGCTGTAGAAAAAGCTAAATAAGAGATAATTATAAAGTTTATTAAAATAAGAAGCAGCGCAGGACTCCCTAAAAAGCTCTAGCTAGAAGTAGTAGACGCAGCAACATAGCTGTACAATATAAGCCTGTCGCACACATATAACCTACGCTTACTAAATAAAGTCTTAAACACGTAGTTTACTAATTACTTTTAATACTATAAGCTAGAGTAGGTAAGAAGTGCTACAGCTAATCTAAGACCTAATTAGAGCAGAATATACGCATACAGCTGTCACGCCTACCTACTTAACAGGGAGTAAGCAGCTAGGCGTTAGAAGTAAAGCTTTAAAGTAACTCTACAGGGCTACATAAAATATCTTATAGGCTATAGAGCCTTAAATATCTACAGAATATAAGTTTTATTACTTAACTAGGTAATTACTATAAGAAATGTAGCTTTTAATAAGATATACTTTTATAAAGATAAAGGTAATAAGCTAATCCCCTAGAAAAAAGCCTCTAAGATTATTAAAATTCTTAATAAGCAAAGTAAGATCTATAATGTAAAAGAAGCTTTTAAGCTTTTACTTTAAAAGTTAGATAAGTAGTAAAGTAATATACTAAATTAAAGGCTTTAAAAGCGTAAGCTTAGAAGTGTAGAAACTAAAAAGCTTATTAAAACTTAAGTTAGCTAGCTAAAGGATTAGCACTTAAAGGTAGAAGTAACTGCGTAGGTGATAAGCATAATAAGTAAGTTACTAAGGATTTGCGCAGTTCCTAATAAATATATAGCACTTATTACTCTAGAGCTAACTCCTAAGCTAGAGCTTACAGATAGCTCTATAACACGCCTTATACAGGGTAGGCATAAGCATAATAGTAATCCCTAAGAAGTGCACTTAACTAAAAAAGCAGATCTACTAGGCTTGTTAAGTTAAATAGCTAACTTACTAGTTAAAAAATTAACCTTTACCTCTTACACTAAGACATTGTCTTTTATAGCTTTAGTTAAAGCAGGTAAGGCACCTTTTAAACATGTGTATAATAAAAAGAGCTAGGGACTAGCAACACACATAAGCTAAAGGATACAGAGGCAAGATCCTAATAACCTAGGTAAGCCTAGAGGTGCAGGAAGCAGAGGTATATATACAACACTCTTAGAGAGGAGTAGCATACGCATTGCTTTATTAATCTAAAGCACCTTTAAATAAACTTCTTTAGAGCATTTATTACTTACAATAACAGAGCGCTTAAAACGCTTTACATAGTGTTTTCTATAGCTACTTTTTTTAAGCAGCCTTAACTAAGAGCTTATAAGCTCCTAAAGGAACCCTTAAAATAAAGAGATCTATATAAACACTTATATAAAGATTTTTTTAAGATTGCAGCATAGAAAGAGATAGCTACTCTGCTTAAAAAAGGCACGTAGAAAGAGATTATATAAACTAAAGTAATATCTAAGCTGCTCTTACTAAAGTAAGTTTTTACATATAAATTTAACTAAAATAGGTATTTTACTAAATATAAAGCTTATATATGCGTACGCAGTAATCTCTAAAGCAAAGACTTACTCTAGTTAACCTATACTGCTACTCTTGCGGCTAGATTCTTCTAAACAGCAATAGCAATAGCAGCTTAATTTAACCTAAAGATTAGGCAATATAATGTTATAAGCGCGTTTCTAAACATGCACTGTAAAAGTAAGCTAGAAGTAATATATAAGCTCTTAGAAGGCTTTACAAAGCCTAGCATATGCGTTAAGCTTTTATAAGCCCTATACAGACTACGCAACTTGCTAATCTTATAGTACTAAGAGCTCTTATAGGCTTTTTAGAAGCTTAATCTTATCTTATTTAAAAAGAAGCTATGCTTATTTTTTAACTATAATTACTATATCTTACTTTTTTTTTATGTAGACAACATACTTTATATCTATTACTATAATAATAAGTTAGAAGCTTACTAATTAATTAGTGTAATTAAGAAAATATATAAGCTAGAAGATTAAAAGCTATGTAAATAGTTTCTAAAGATTAAAATAATTAAGAATAGAAAGGCTAGAATAATCTAGCTAGTACATAACGCGTATATTAAGAAAGTAGTAAAGAAGTTTAACCTTGCAGAGAGCGCGCTCTTCCTAGAGACTCCTCTACTATTAGAAGAGCTTATAAGCAACTAGGGATTAGCATTAAAGCATAAAATTAAGGAATACTAAGAGCGCGTAAGATTAACACTCTACACTGCAATTATAGTGCGCCCTAACATAGCGTTTACAGCATCCTAGCTCTCCTACTACCTAATAAACCTAGGAAAGCAGCACTTCTAGGCAGTAAATTAGGCAATTGTGTACCTGTACTATATAAGGCATACAGGCATATAATACAGAGCACTAGAAGGCGCGCAACTTATTATGTGTAGAGATGCGTCTTTTGCTAACTACGCAGAGACTAGATAATTATTCTATAGATACATTATCTTAATCTTTAAAAAACTAATTTTATAGAAAGCAGCTCTTTAGCTAACAGTAACTATGTCTATAACAGAGGCTAAGCTGCTTGCTCTAGCGCACATTATAAAGGAATTACTAGCTCTAAAACGCTTCTTTAAAAAGCTTACCTTAGGGCTAGGCACACTGTAGTAGATTTACTGTAACAACTAGCAGATAATCTAGTTAGTAGTAGAAGAGAACGCCTAGATAACTACCTACCTACGCTAGGAGCATGCAAAAGGATCTTTTAAAGTGCGCTATATTAAAACAAGCAACATGCTAGCAGATAGACTTATAAAGCACTTACTAAAACAGTAATTTAAGCACTTTAAGTAGCTTCTTAACTTTAAAGACATGTAAACAAGCTTCTAAGAAGAGAAATTATTAATTATTAATAGTAGGGACATCTCTACACTGCCTGGAAACAAGAGAGCTATCTACTAGCAGAGACACTCCCCTATGCTATAGAGACTAAGTAGGGATTTAGTACATAAGATGCGCAGAAACATAGAATGCCTAAACTATAAGGAGATTAACAAGCTTACTTAAGAGCTCTTTAGCGTGCTAGTGACGCGCTAGGAGCCCAGGGGACACGTCACCCTGCTCCTCCTCCCCCTCCCCCTCCTCCTCCTTCTCCTCCTCCCCCTCCTCCTTTTCCTCTCTCTTCTTCTTCTCTACTACATCCTCTTTAAGCAGAGCTTAAAGAACTAGCTAAAGCTAGAACACAGCCTATAGCCTGTTAGTCTAATCTAGGGTATAACACATAATCTCTGCAGAGAAGCTTACCTGCTTGTCCTTCGCAACAAGCGCCGCAACAAGGCGCCGCGCATAGACAATAGTAACAGGGGGACTGCAAATAGGTTAAAAAGCTAGATTACCCCACACACTACTACAGGGCTTACAGGGGCAGGCAGCTGTGCCTAGAGGAACAGCGCTAACAGCGCGAACTGCTAGAGGCAGAATCATGGCACTCCCCACTAGAGCGCCCCGCGAGCGCACTCTTTATGCAGCCTAGACAGGACTGCGCGCGGAGCGCACCAGGGGGAGGCCGGCGGGGGGTGGTGGGCGCGGGCATGCGGGTGGTGGGCGCAGAGCGGCGGGGGGTCGCGGGCGCAGAGCGGCGGGGGGTAGTAGGCGCGGGCTTGCGGTCGATGCGGCCCCGCAGAGCGGCGGCACGCGAGCGGGCGGCTCTTTTAGCTTTATTAAGCTTTATACACATGTTAGTAGAAATTGCAGACAGGTTTAAAGTTATTCTTAGAGCTTAAAAGCATTAACTTACATGCAGCATGTTAGTTAGATCTAAAGAACAGGAGCTTAGGGAGCAGCAGAATTTATTTACCTCTGTTGCGGCGATCACAGCAAGCACGTGACCCGCGCTGCCTAGGGAAACAAGCATTGCGCTGCCTAGGGCAACAAGCACTAGAATCACTAAGGACAACAAGCACAAACACAGGGTGAACGCCCAGCGCTGCTCCAACAAGCCAAGGTAACGCTCTACACAGGTGAGCTGCGCAGCAGCTCACCTGGGGGGTGTGTCGCGTATACTGAGAGCCTTGGCTGGGGCCCGGAGCCTGGGACGCGGCTCGGGATCTGGAGATATTATGTTCCGAAGCTCGGTGTATATAAGGAGAGCCTCCAGCTCTCTTAGATAGGGGAGTCACTTCATCTGATCTTCTGAACAGCTACTGCCAGGCTATTTTATCCTCCACAGAATGTTATAGTGTACTTTAGTAATGTTTAAGATAACTTTATATATTTTTATGTTATTATTAATATGTACTTTTAATACTTTTTCTTATAATAGTTTTAGTTATAACGTACTTCATAGGCGAGTTGCTCACACACCCAAGTCGCTTACTTTTGCCAAGACCCTACCCTAACAAACTCTATTATAGCCTATAACAACCTGCTCTAGCACTATATAGTACAGTACAGCCTAGAATATTATTTAGGTACTACTTCTGCTTCTTGCTTACACGTTTGCGCGTTATGCCTAGTCTAATTGCACTATCTGCAGCGCCTTTAAGATAGCTTACCTACTTTAGCTTACACCTGCTTCTTTACTTTTTTCTTATTACTACGCGCTTTAAACTTCTTTAGAGCTGTTAAGTGTAAGCTTTTTTAAATTATTCAGGTCTTTTCTACCTTAATTTACTTTTTTTTATATAATTTATATTATATAGCAGCCTTATTAGCTACTTAAAGCTTAGTAATTTTTTATTACACTAACACTAGCTTATGTGTAATTATTACTGCCCTTTTTAAAACCTTTTTAAACACCTTAACTATAAAAGTTAGTAAACTATTTATATGCTTTTAAATTTTTATCTTTATAAGCATTAATTATAACCTAAGTTCTAAGGTATTACTTAGGGTTTATAACTGCTAGGGCTTGTTATATATAAGTAGTAGTAGTAACAGAGTGCGTAACTTTACATTAAAGCTTATTATAACTTATTATAAGTTAAAAGAAACTAATCTAGCGCTTTAGAACCTTTCTTAGATATTACTAAAAGTAATTATAGTATTATAGGCTACTTTAAAGCATAGCAGAAACTTTATTTTTATAATATAAGTAATTTAGTTATGCATAAGGTTTTTAGCTTAGCGCCTATACACTTTTTTTAAAAAAGTAAAATAACCTATATTAAGTAGCTATAAAAGGTGTAATAAGTAAAAAAGCATATAAATAGTAATAATCTTGTTATCTTTATAGTATTACTAAAAATAAAGTAAGTTATAGCTTTTATAGCTGTTAATAACTAGCAGATAGTAGCTACTAACAGTACACTTCTTTATATACACGTTAAAGTGCTTTAACTAGTCTAGACTAAGCTAATTAGTAGTCTAGCTGCGCTTAGAGATTATAATAACTTAATTTTAAAGTATATTTTTTTTATACTAGTTTAAAAAGTAGTTGCTACCCTAGAAGATAATAAAAAGTAAAATAGCCTACTTTTTAGCATTAATGCCCTAGATAGCTGTTGTCTACTTCTAGTTGCCTAGCTAGACTACTTTTAGCTGTCCTTGTCTCTCTAAACCTGTAACAACTGCTCTAGTAGATATCTAGCCTATTATAAACTCTGTCTTGTTAAAGTTATATATGTTATTATCCTAAATGCTATACTTAGCTTTAATATTCTTTATAAGGTTAAACTAGCCTAAAATTACTATAGGATTTTTATAAAAAGCTCTTTTATAGTTATACTTACACTTAAACTTTACTTTAAGCTTTAAGTAACACTTAATAAATGTATTAAGCTAGTTTATTAGCAGAGCTTGCTCTGCTTATTATATTCGGGTTTGCAGAACGAAAAGTTTAGCAGAATCTCCTCTTTTGGACGCGCTAGTTAGTCAGAATTTCTTCGGATAAACCCCGGTAACGCTGTTTCTCTGTCAGCTTATGTGTTTCTTATATTCTTTTTTAAAAAAAATGTATACCTAATGTAAGTGCACCTTTATGCTAATTTGCATGCAGTTTGCTCTAGCATGCGTTGTGTAAAACATATTTAAATTATGGTTAGTTGCGTCTG